GGAGGAAGAGGAGGAAGAGGAGGAAGAGGAGGAAGAGGAGGAAGAGGAGGAGGAAGTGAAGGAGAGAGAAAGGAAGAAAAAGAAGAGACTTAAAGACAAGATGCTTTTAAAACAGGAAAGGGAGGGTACAGCTGGCTGGGAAATGCCTCTTAAAAAAAAGGACTTGCTTGACAGAAAGAGAGGTTCAAGACTCAAGGAGAAAAGTCACTTAGTAATACCACCCCAGTCACCCCCAGGAGAAAAAGAGGGAATATACCCGAGAGAGATGAGAGAAAGATGGGACAATCAATTTCTTGAAGGACTCCCCACGACAAGTTCACGGGAAAGACAAGAGACTGTGGTCTTGGGGAAAGACAGGAAGGATTTTCTACAAGCCTCAGGAACTGGCTTAGAGACTCAAATCCCAGAGCAGCTCCATGGACCACAATTGGAATTACCCGTTATCTTACAACCAGAGAAGCCTAAAGTTGGCAAGCCGAGTTGGTTCGTTCCATTGGAGGATATTAAGGACCGAGTTGTGCCTCAGGCCCCTGCCTCTTCTCCTGAAAGGTTTCCTGGAAGGTATAAAGGCCCAGCCCATGCAGGAGCAAGTGTCTCTGAGAAGGGGTGGGTAGCCAATACCCTCGGAAGGCTGGAAGCAGGAGCACAGCTTTCCAGGGCGAGTTTCCAGCAGCTGCACCAACTCCTCCGAGACTTCTGTTCACCCAGTTACTGGGAAGGGCTACACCTTTCCAAACTGAAGGCCATTGTTCAGCACCTAGACATAGGTCAAATCGATCGTCCCCAACCCGAGAGAGAAGTCTTTAGTCCTCTGCACCTAAAAGCGATCCCTCCGATGAAAAGAAAAGAACCAGTGGTCGTCTCAGCCACCCCAACTCAACCCCCCGACGCCTTCAGCTGGGATCTCTTGGCCAAGGCCTACAGGCAAAAGCAGACTGGGCAGCTTCCCTCTGCTGTTAAGGACGCAGAGCACTTTTATCCAACCAGAAAGGGTGACCTGGGAGCCACCTATCCCTTTGTGGATAAAAGAACCCTGCCCTTGATGTTCAAGGACTTTCCAGACTCAAGGGCAAGGGTAGGGATCCCCACATTTTCCATGGCAAGGGAAACAGTGCCTATCCCTGGACTCGTGTCACCCTCAGGCCCCAGTTGGACTGCAGATTCAAAGGCTGAACACTGGCAACTTCTAGACGAGTCTCACAGAAGTGCCCGTAGGCAGCAGTTATCAGATGTCCTCAAAGACATTGAGATGCGACACTTTTATCCCACCCAAAGAGACATTCTCACAGGGGTCCAGGCATCTATAGACAGACAAACTTTGGCACTGATGTTTCAAAAGGAACTTAAAGCTTTGAAGAGAAAAGGCAGGTATCCCAAACTGGCCAAATTGGAGAAGACAAAGGCTGTCTCAGAAAAAGAAGCGCTCCCTTCATGGGAGACGTTCGTGGCGCTCTATCATGTTTTGCGCATGCTACAGGAGCGGTATGCCAAAGACCCGGCTACTTGGATGGAAAAGTTCTACCAGCTCATGGACCTCTACCAGCTTAAGTCCCCTCGAATCCAGAGGCTGCTGCAGGACCTGCTACTGAGAGAAGAGCCTCAGCCCCAAGAGTTTGTCTCCAAAGAGACTCTGAAGGCCCTGGAGGTGGAGTTAGTACCTGGGGAGCGGTTGTTCTACCGTCTGTTTTGCGGTGTCCCCCATGCCCCTGCAGGTTCCCTTAAGTTTTGGAATGTGATACCCCTCTCTGGGCAGAACAATGTAGATACTGTCCAGCCTGTGGGCATTGCCCGGTACGGGTTCCTAGAACTCGCCTGGAAAAGCTTACCTCAAGTCAATCCTTCCTTGGGAAAGGAACTGCCCCCCATTTCCTCTCGGATTCACTGACATTAGGACTCTGAAATCATTCCGGAAATGAGCCTGCAACAGATTTTAAGCCTCTTGAGTTGTTCCCCACATCGAGGAGGGGGCTGTACTAGGACCCACCTCCATTCAGCTACCATGTACTAAATAAAATGATGTTCCTCATTCTTACGAAATACTCTGATCTGTTTTTCTTCAAGCCTAGAATCTCCATGAAAGAGGCCAGTGGAAATGGTTCCCCTTTATGTTATGGGAACAATTGCTTCTCAGGTAAAGACCACATACACTCCTCTCTGGGCAGCAGCCAATATTTGCTCCCTTCAAGTCTGTCCTAGTAGTTTCCCCCCTTTGATTAATATTTGTTGTCCTTAGAGGGCAAGGAGAAGTTTATGAATGTAGCATTAGTAGAAAAATCAGAGATAGCCCATCAGTTTCTTGCAACAAACTTGCATCTTGACCAACTTTCTAAACATATCTAAGCCTTGCTCTTCTTGCCTACATAATGGGGGTATAGAATGAAGTAGCACTTTAATGGTTTAATTATGTGCATGCACGTGTGTGCCTGTGCATATGCCATGTGTGTGTGGGTTTCCATGGAGGCCAGGAGAGGGTGTTGAATCCCCTGAAGCTGGAGTTACAGGTGGTTCTGAGCTGCTGGATGTGAGTGCCACACCAACCTTGAATGTTCTCTAAGAGCCATCTCTCCAGCCCAAATCAGTGGGTTCCAGAACCAACTTGACAGCTGAAAGAGCCTGTAGTCTAGTCCTTGCTCTGGCAGCTACTGGGTCTTTGATCTTTGTTTTGCCTTCCTTGGAGTAAAAATGGTGATGCTGAGACCTTCCTCAGAGGCATGCATGGCACAGTTCCTATAAGATAGATTTTTGTTATGTTCTTTTGTTGACATAGGGCACTGCCAGACTTATTATGTAGCCAAAATTTGCCTTGAACTTGTGGCAGTCCCACTACCTCTACCTCTCAAATTCTGCGATTACATATGTGTACTACACCTGGCTATCTTTTGATTTTCTTTGTTTGATTTCAAAAAGGAAAATCATCTGGCTTCCAATTTCAGGAACTAGTCAGGTAGACATGTTAAGTATATGAATTCATGTAACAATGAGCTGGGAAATTTTGAGTGGATGTAATTCCCTTATTTAAGTCTTATCTAAGGATATGTCAGTCACTAAAGGTTTATTTTTATTTTCTGGGCATGTGTTTGTCTGTGTATGTATATGTGAAATGCATGCCTGGTACCACTAGAAGTCATAAGAGAATGTCAGATCCTCTGGAACTAGAGTCATAAATGGTTGTGAGCTGCCATGTGATGTAGAAGTTAGCTCAATTCAAGAAATAATTAGGCTAGCTAAAAGACAAAACAATTACATTTTTTATTTATTATAAGGGGAAAGCTCATGAAACAGGAACGAGAAGTCCAAACTCAGCTGTGCTACGAGGGAACCACACAGAGAGAGGGCATCTGGGCCACACACCATTTTTCTCCAGGTCTCAGAAAGCCATACCCTAACTTGGTCTCACCTCTTAAAGATAATTGGTTGGCAAAGAGTCCCTATCACCTCCCCCCTTTGTCTAAATAAGAGAGATCCAAACCGAATTCAAAACTATATACAGTAGGAACAGAAATCAAGTATAAAATTATAATCAACATAAACAATATTAAGCAAGGAACACATGATAAATGTTTTAATAAACATTATATTCCAAAGAGTCTAATTCTTGCATTGGAAATAGGCTTAGCTAAACCATAGGAGAATGGTAACTACTACCTACTACTATCTAATCTTCAACACCATTGAAGGCCTGAGAAGGGAGATAACATTACTTGAGTAGGCAGGAAGTACAATAAAGCAGCTTCTAAAGCGAGCAGTATATGATGGAGACAATTGGCTACCTGAGCAATCACCCAAAGTCTCATTTGCAATGTTGAAGCAACCAACTTTGGCTAAAGTCTAGCATGACTGAGAGCATTTTTAGAGGAAGAAAAATTACCCTGTTTTGGCAAGGGTTGGCAGACCTTTTCCTTGTGTCCTGCTTATCCAGTCCGGATACCATGTACTTTGTCAGTGGTTGAGGCATGGGCAGTTCCTTGGAGAAAACAAACTCTGAGTAGAGTGTCTTCAGGGCTCAACATTCTCTCAGGAGTAGATTGGTGCTGTCAGGAGCAATCGTGTCTTATGTCAACAGAATCCTAAGTTATTTAAATGCCATGTTCTACAGATCTTGATCAGTAGTAAAAGGCACTATAATCTCTGCTGGGTCTACACCTGCTAATTGACAAAGTCTCAATTTACCTTTTATAATTAATTCAGAGACTTTTTCCACATAAATTTTGGTTTTTTAAAACTTGGTTTATGTGGTAAAAAAAACCATTCTAAAACAATATAATCTTTTGGCATTAAAATTCCTGGAAGGCAACATGACTGGAATACAATCAAGATTTGAATTTACCCTATCCACATGTGCCTTTTGTAATTTTTCCTTAACAATCATCAATTCCTTTTCCACTTCAGCTGTTAATTCTCTGGGACTATTTAAGTCTTTGTCACCACTTAAGGTTTTGTTTAAATGAATTATTAGATCAGGTGTTATCCCAACAGCCAGTCATAGACTGGAACTGTCTCCTAACAATCTTTGAAAGTCATTAAGAGTCCGCAACTGATTTCTCCTAAATTGTGCCTTTTGTGTTCTAATTTTCTGTGAACCTATTCTGTAACCTAGGTAATGAACAAAATCTCTTCTTTGAATCTTTTCAGAAGCAATTTATAATCTCCATTTAGGCAAGTCTTTCTTTACTTCTTCAAACATCCTTTCTAACGTATCTGCATTTGAATCAGATAACAAAATGTCATCCATGTAATGGTAGATTATAGACTTAGGAAATAGCTTATTTATTATTTCCAATGGCTGGCTGACAAAGTATTGGCACAGGGTGGGGCTATTGTGCATTCCCTGAGGGAGGATGGTCCATTGATATCTTATAAGTAGGCACTGTGAAGGCAAATTTTTCTCTATCATTTCTTGTAAAGGTATAGTGAAGAAACAATCCTTTAAATCAATAA